TTCCCACTGCCAGCCCCTGGTTGAAGTTCTGCCCTCTGGGGTCACACAGACGTTGCCCGCTTTGTTAGGAGCTTCTGGGGCCACTGCCGGGGGCCACACGGGTCCATGTGCTGCCCTCACCCTCAGACAGGCAGAGCGGGCACGGGGGTGTTGCCTGGGGAGGGGGAGGCTCAGACACTGCCCTGCTCTCTTCCCCAGAGTCACCCCTTCATGCCCATGGTGGTGGATGGCGTGCTGCTGCCCAAAACCCCTGAAGAGATTCTGGCCGAGAAGAGTTTCAACACCGTCCCCTACATCGTCGGCATCAACAAGCAAGAGTTTGGCTGGATCATCCCAATGGTGAGCACGTGCAGCCTCTTAGACTCTCTGCTCTCCCCGTCAGCCCTCCCAGGTCTGGCCACAGGCGTCCGTCCTTCTCCAAGGCCCGATCTGAGTCCAGGACATCTGTCCCCTCCCTCACAAGTTGTCATTTCCATGGAAACCTTCTCTGGGATGGCCCAGCTGTGACCGGGGTGCCACGGCCCTGAGAACTCCTCTCCCCAACACCCTTTGATCGTCTTGCAATGAAAGAATCCTGCGGTGTCCATGCTGGGAGGGCCTGTGGAGGTAACGGTTGTGCAGATGGAAACGGAGGAGCCTGGAACGGGGAGGGAGCTCGGGATTTGAGGCGAGTCAGGCCTGGGCGGCGGCTTCTCACCTTGGGCCTGGTGCGCAGTTTCCCGTGAATCTCCACACACGCTCTCAGTCGTCTCTCTGGAGAGATTCAGAGCGAGTTGGTTCTCTTTGAGTTAAGATTGACTCTAAACGCGCAGAAAGAATTTCTTTCCTGTCCAACGTAGACAAAGCCAACCCCAGTTAGAGCCATAGGACAGATTTTATTCAGTAACACGACTGCAGTAGGGAGTTGTCCAGTGTGGACGGGCCCCGAATCCCTGAAACAAAGGCTGGGGCTGTCCTAAAGCCCGGCTGTGCTGAGGGAAAGCCCTGTGGGGTGAGGAGTTGGGGTGGTTAGTCCGTGAGGCTCAACCACCTGGATATGTGAGTCCCCCTCATCTGGAGGCGAAACAGGAGGCCGTGGTGTAGACTGAAGTGAGGCCCTCCCTGAAGTGAGGCAGGAATCTGTGCACAGGACTGGGAGGGAGACCCAGGGTTGCCTCCCTGAAGGTTTGCACTTAATAGAGAGGCCTCTCAGGCCCTGGAGGAAGCAGTCTGCGTGG